TGAACTCCACGAAAGCAATTTGTATCTGTCAGAATAGCGACGGTATCGCGGTCCAATTTTTCTTGGAAACGTCCTGCAAAACGCCACGTACATATTTTGTTTCTCATCGTGTTTCTACGTGCGAATAAATAAAATATCATTTTTATGTTAAATATGTCCATACCTACATAAACACGTCACTGTACAAATTCTTGATACGATAAATTTCCTATAAAGTTCCAGAGTTCCAATGATAAATTTTATCGGAGAAATATTACAGAATAAAGTAAAGGATAGTCTACGTTCGAAACAGGTTAACAAAAATTCCGAGGGACCGCGTTTTGCATAATTCGAAGCGGTCTGCTCGCGCCCAGAGAGACGACACGGCACCGATCGGTCGATTCTCTCTCGCGTATCAGTCGTTTCTCTCCGAGAGGCTGCTCGTGTCGTAATCTTTCACGGTGGTCCAGATCCGTGCGGCTGGATTCCTCGAGGTCGCGCGAAACCGCGATCGTCCGTACGCTCCGCTCACCAAAATACACGGCTACGTGTTACAGGGACAACCTTCCTTGACATCGACCAACAACGTTGCCGGCAGACGACAGATAAAAATCGAACAACGAAACGCGGCTGTTCCATTTCGGGGGATCGAGGCATCGATGTCCTTCAGCGACCCGAATATTATATTATATTATATTATCAATATTATATTATCAATCAACGTTAGAACTATTGACGATCAAAGCGTAAAATTATCACCGGAAACGTTAAAAGTAAAAAGGAAACAGAAGAGCTTTACGATGGGAGATTTTACTGATGCGTTTTACAAAAAATCATTTAAACCTCTAAAAACACATCTGTTTCTATTTCTGTTTCTATAAGTACTTTATAGAAATTTACAAATACTTTATAGATACTTTATAGAAATAGAAATACTTTATAGATACTTTACAAAAATAGAAATACTTTATAGATACTTTATAGAAATATAGAAATACTTTATAGAAATTTACAAATATTTTATAGATACTTTAAAAATACTTTAAAGAAATAGAGATACTTTATAGATACTTTATAGAAATAGAGATACTTTATAGATACTATATAGAAATAGAAATACTATAGATACTTTATAAATACTTTATAGATGCATTATAGAAATTTACAAATATTTTATAGATACTTTATAGAAATAAAAATACTTTATAGATACTTCATAAATACTTTATACATTATAGAAATTTACAAATATTTTGTAGATACTTTATAGAAATAAAAATACTTTATAGATACTTTATAAATACTTTATAGAAATAGAAATACTCATAAATACTTTCTATAAATACTGTATAAAATTTCTAAATACTCTATAAAATTTCATTTCGACAGCTTTTGTAAGTTCAGTAAAGTAAGCTGCAGCGTTAAGTTCAGTAAAGTAAGTTCGACGACGAAGCGAGCAAAGGTCTGCGAGAGCGGGTTAGGGCGAGTTGCAAATTTGCCAAGATGTTTCCCAACAGATTATCAACGACGGTGCGAAACACCGACAGGATATAGAGCAGCGTTGTTTGCTCGCTAAAGTGGAATAAGCTCAGAATGGCGCGACGTTCGATGAATCGGGACGGTTCTATTTTACGCAACGACTCGTATCACCGACGCGCCGTGTTAGGAAAGTAGCCGCGTTGAGAAAGGCGGTCACGCTGGTGCCTAAGATCGACAAAAATATTAGACTCTCCGTGAACTGTCAGTTTATAAAAAAAAAAAAAAAACAAGAAAAAGAACACAGAAACATCCATTTTTGTAAATACATATGGTAATAGGACAGTATCTTTTCGATCTGCCCTTCAATGTTAAAAAATGTAGACATAATTCCTTTTAACACTAGAACTATCAACAAAATGGTCAAAATGACCAACATTTGAATATTTTGCAGCGTATTTTTGGAGACATGAATTAATTTTTTGACAAAATACATAAATGAAAGTCTTGTCTCTCTGTCATATTTATTGTAAATATTTTCTACTTCTTTCACTTTAACGTCTTTTATACATTATACTTTAGTACTTTTGTATTTTAACATTGTAGTGTATTTGTTTTATACTTAATTTTGTACTTTAATTTTGTATTCAATTTTATTTTATACTTTTAGTCGTCGGTAGTTTTCGTGCCAACTTGACAAAAGCGGTAGTAAACAATCAAACAGAGAAACTAGAGACTGTATCAGCTTCAAACGTAAAGCAGACGTAGAAGAATCGTACGAAAAAGGAAACTATCATGTACTCTGTGAGCACAATTATGTACATAAATCGCTTCCGATGGATTCTTTCGACGTTAGCTTGCTTCTGAGAGCATAATCGTCGCGTCGCCGCAGTATTCGCGTGTAATCCAGTTGATGGAAAGAACTTTCACTTACTTTGAAGTTCGTTAACGTATCGCGCCACCGATCTCGCCGGTTATCCAGCTATAACGATAGTTAATTCATACCGCAGTTCGAAACTACAAACGGAAAAGAACAAAAAAAAAAAAAAAAAGAAACGACTGCTAGGCGAGACGACATCGATCATCAAGCCTTATACGATTTCTTCAATCATGCACGCGCTCGACGATTCTAATCAGCCTAAACGAATCTGCATAGAATCACACGATGAATTCGATTTGACGGATGCAATAAATCTACGTGCACTTCATCTACATCTGAATTATCATATTATATTGAGAGCGATTGTTTCAGATCATTTTTTCAAACAAACAAACTTTCGTAATTTCGTGAAAACGACAAACTCTATGCCAGATTCAAGCGATAATGTTAACAACACATTTTTCAACATACAGTTACGATTGTCTCTATTTATCGCGCCAAATAAATTATCAGACATTCTCAAGGCGTATTTAAATATACTTGTTCGACAATTAGATCTATCAGTGTAAATTATTGTCTATAAAAACAATCGACAATAACCTATTTTAATAAAAAAAATTGTTATCTGTTAATACGAATTAAATATTCAATTACAAAAATAAATTACTATCTATTAATATAATTACTATATATAAATAAATAACCAGCAATAATTTATTTCAATTGTAAACTCGAACTGATTAATTTCTTAAGTATCGAGAAACGAGAATACGTTTCTTTCAACAATTACGATTGTCTCTATTTATCGTGCCAAGTAAATTATCAGACGTTCTCAAGGCGTATTTAAATATACTTGTTCGACAATTAGATCTATCAGTGTAAATTATTGTCTATAAAAACAATCAACAATAACCTATTTTAATAAAAAAAATTGTTATCTGTTAATACGAATTAAATATTCAATTACAAAAATAAATTACTATCCATTAATATAATTACTATATATAAATAAATAACCAGCAATAATTTATTTCAATTGTAAACTCGAACTGATTAATTTCTTAAGTATCGAGAAATAAGGATACGTTTTTCTTTCTCGCGGCCACCAGCGAAAAAGCGACAAAGCGAAAGGCCAAATGTTAAGAGTATCCTTTCCCACGTCGCACCAGATGCGGACCTTTTGTGCCACGAGAGCCGTGTACGCACGCCACGTACGTACACTGAACGTATGTACAACACCATCGCCCAGCCAGCTCTTGCTCTCCGTCTCCTTAAGGCGAACCCACATCGCGAAGGAAACACGCGGTCGCAGAAAAAAAAAAACGGCAGCAGAGTACACGCGCGCGGACCTCCGATTACGTCACGCCGATTCCATTCTGCAGCTCGCAACTTTCGCGAAATAATAACTAAAGCTACCCCTTGCGATAAAAAAAAAAAAAGAAAACTCTCTCGCGACTTTGGAAAATTTTCTTCTCTTTCCTGTTGGCCAGTAAAAGAGACAAACGAGAAAGAAATTCCAAACATTCGAATTTCGAGGGTTTAAAAAAATATTTATCGTTCATTCTCAGACCGACATTACGCGAGAGACTTTTGTAGATTAATCGGTACGTGTTTGCATTATGCGAGACGGACGGCGAATATTATCGGCGAATCGCGAAAATCGTTGGTCGATGGATATCGGAAATTTACGTGGAAGGTTGAACGGCTGGCGAGCGATATTGGTTTATCGGTTACCGTATTTAAGCCAGGGGGAAACCATTCAGACTACTCTAAATATGTGTATTTATCGGGTTATAAAAATTATATATTTTTAAGTATATAGTATATAATTTAGTTAGTATATTTGATATTTATAATATTAATTAACTAGTATATAATATAGTTCTAAGTAAGTATACTATAAATATATTACTACTAAAAGTAATACACTATAAGTATATTACTACTAAAAGTAATACATTATAAGTATATTACTACTATATAAGTATACTATATAGTACTTATAGTATACTACATAGTATACTATAAGTAGTTAAGTAATATACCATAAGCATACTATATAGTACTTATAGTATACCATAAGTGTACTATATAGTACTTATAGTATACTATAAGCATACTATACAGTACTTATAGTATACCATAAGTATACTATATAGTACTTAGAGTATATTATAAGCATACCATATAATAGTTATAGTCTACCATAAGTATGCTATATAGTATAGTATAAATACTATAAGTAATATACTACAAATATATTACTAGTATATACTATAAGTAGTTAAGAATACAGTCACACATTAAGTCTATACTTTAAATATAACTAGTTAACAATACTATTACTACGAATAACAAATAGTTATTTACTCCGCAGCGAAGTGAATCTTCGTCATTAGGTAAAGAAGTTTCAACAAGGACCGTATCGTATCTCAATTGGACAAAACTGATATAAAAAAATAGTCACAATTGTCAATTTTGAACACCCAACGAGTCACAATTATCAATTTCGAGTCAACATGGTACATCCACGGAGCGTACAACACGCCCTCAACGAACAACGCGCCCTGAAAATTTCCACACCCCCACGTTTTATCTCCCCCCCCTCCTCCTCCCACCACGGTTTCGCTCGCGATATAAAATCAGACAAACTCCAGCTACTCACTCAACGTTTTATTGATCCAATCGGCGAGGTCTTCCTGCAACGGCAGCAACTGTCTGCTCTGTGCCGAGTGGAGACGCTCGTGATAGAACTCGGCGTACTCTTCCTCTTCCGGCGAGGGCCTCGGCACGTCGGCACGATTGAACACAGTCACCGACGAGGGTCCCCAGCTGCTGCGGTATCGGGTGTGCTGCGAAGACGGGAATCGATTGGCGTACGACATCCTGAGGCGGAAAGGAGCGAGAAGCGTCCCGGCGGCCCGCACCGGCCCCACTTCCACTCGTCCTCGCCACCAGGCTGGATTTCAAATTTTCCTCCCCGTTTCACCCGGTCGATGAGCGCGCTCCTCTCGCCCGCGAACAGTCGTGGATTCCTCGCCGGTTTTCCCAGTCGGTTACTGAAGAAATGTCCCAGCGACGCCGTGCGATGCGGCACGTCTCTCGATTACGCCAGCCTGAAAATTCAAAAACCCTCTCTTGTCTTATCACGCGTCTTAACGCGCTCGCGTTCCTCGCGAGCAACTGAGCAACCTTCCTCGAGGATCGTTTCAACAATTGAGGCTAATTCTTAAAATTGATTTGAAGATCTTTCATCCGTTCGATTATTATTTCAGTTCGAGACAGATTTTAATCATCCAGTTGACCTTCAACACATCTCCATCAGGTGATGTCACCAATTTTCCTCTGTTGTTTCTGTTGCACTGTAATCCCTCGTGAAAATGGGAAAGTTACGCAATTACGAATATGACTCTCAGGAAGTATTTTGCTGCAGGAAGAAAAATTTTAAATTCTTGGTAATAATTAGATAATAGAATGCTTCTGTGGAAAGTACAATATAAGGGGAAACGTTCTCTCGGTCTCACATCTGACATTTCTTCAGAACGACCTCACGAGATTAGAAGTATCGTGCAAATCTAATAAATTATTACTTAATTTTAACAAATGCAAAGTTATCGGGTTTAGTCGTAAAACTGATTTGAAGATTTTTAATTATTCTCTTGGAGGCACCGTCCTTGATAATCCCGACTCGATTCGTGATTTAGGAATTCTTTTCTCACATGATTTGTCATTCCCTGAACAATTCAAAAATGTCATATCGCGTGCCTTTAGATCTTTAGGTCTTATTCGAAGAACAGTTAGACTTTTCAATGATACGAACACACTAAGATTACTTTACTGCACATTGGTTAGACCAATCTTGGAATACGGCTCGCTAATCTGGTCACCCTACTACAATACCTACATTGACGCTCTTGAAAGACCGTAATACAAATGTCTACGTTTGGCAGCTTATCATAGTGGTGATTCTGTGCCAAGATATTCTCATAATTACGAGTACGTTCTAACCAAATTAAATTTGAATACACTTGAACATCGCAGGAAAGTAGCTGACTTGGTCTTTGTCAATTGGATATTCAATGTTCTGAATATCATTGACTTAATGTTCCACCAAGTCACTCTGAATTCTTTCACATTGAACATATTATGACTTCTATGACTTCTATAATCGTATATTTATTAACGCTAATAATGCACATTACTTATCTCTTTGTAATTTTTCAGTCAGTCTCATACGTCATTACATTTAAAATTTTTATAATTGTATCACTTTTTGTACTAACAGGTATTTCTTTACCCGTGAGAAATGAATAAATAAATAAATTAACGCTCGATCGAGATTTCTTTCCTTTTCTTCTTTTTTTAACACGTTTCCACCACGAAATATTCCACGAGCGAATTAAAAAACGCGGATTTCAAAAACTTGATCTTCATACCGACTTCTTTTTTTTTAACAAACTCCGATAAAGTAATATAATAATACACGATAATATTTAATAATCCCGGTCCGGTCTCGCAAGTTGCAGAAAACTGAATTACGAGTCATGAAAATGCACAGTCTTCGACACCGTTTTATCTGTTGACACATTCGGATATTTTTAATTTAAACCAGCTACATCGTAGACACCTGAATTTATTTATTAAGTACAGGCGAAAGATCAACTAATATTTGATTAGAATAAGAAACACAATATCTTGTTGAAACAAAGTATCAATGCAACACGATCGTTTTCACGCGATTCACCAAATATCACGTGATTCGTCCGCAGTTGCGTCGACAAATCAAGTTTCCATGCAAATGTAGAAAAAGAAAAAAAAAAAAAAAAGGAAAAGAAAAGGATTGAGGAAAGGAAAAACTAACGTTGCCTGGACACGCGGTCGAGTCTTTATCTGTTTACAACGGATTGCGTTACATCGAATGAAAATAATAACAGCGAATTAATAGAACGACGTCGAAGGACGCACGTGGATTTGTTCGTCGAACATTATCTGGATTTTCATTTGATCAATCCGTACATATATACTCAAACTAGCAGTAACTTGACGATAGAAGATTTTGATTATGCACGATTCTTTTATTCGTTCTCAAATCAATTAATCTTTTGCATAAACACGTACACATACATTGAAATTTCAAAGAGCAACGTGCCAAGTGTGAAATTTTCAACAAATCGATTTTTCTTCTTCTTCTTTTTTTTTTTCTTTTTTTGTCTTAAATAGTAGTTTGAAGTCTTAGAGATGAGATACAAAAGGTCCTAGCCTTTAAAATGACTTATTTCCGGGTATAATAATAAATCAGCACAGACACAGAATAATTGAATTTGCATCACTGTTTACAACTTTAAGCAGTATTATAAAGTGTAAATCATGTGATTCGAATATTACTTTTGGTGAATCGAATATTAGGCGACTTGGATTCAATTTAGCATAATTAATATTATTTTGCATATAATTATATATATATATTATTTGTATTTTATTATACTCTTACCCTTATTTAAAAAAAATTAAATTTTATATATATATATTTTATTTATAATTATATATAATATATATATAATATCATATATATATATATATATATATTATTTGTATTTTATTATACTCTTACCCTTATTTAAAAAAAAATTAAATTTTTATATATTTTATGTATATATAAATTTTATTTATAATTATATATAATATATATATAGAATATTATATATATATATATTATTTGTATTTTATTATACTCTTACCCTTATTAAAAAAAAAAATTAAATTTTTATATATTTTATATATGTAGTATCAAAGTGTACGTAACTTTTAGGCCCGTCACACTGCCCCCTTAAATATCTCATAAACGAGAAATATATGACTTTTATAATCACCGGCACATATGCATGAAGATTTCATTTTATTTCCACTCTCTCCCATTTACTCTCTCCTCCATCCTGCCGTCTCCCTCGTTCGATCGTTCGAATCCCACGCGACCGTTTTAACAAAATCGCGCGAGGTCTCTGCGTGAGACGTCTCGCGTTCCTCCGGGGGCCGTCGACGAATGCTAATCAATTGGAATTGAATTTAAATACAGAGGCGTCTGTGGACATTGCAGAGACGCCGAGTCTCATGAATTACTACGTCCACTCCTTGAATCGAACGAACTGGCAATGACAACCGTGTGCCCAGCGATTGCCAACGCTTCATCTGTTATCTGAACTGCGAACTGAAATTTTAGATTCGATAGTTTCCAGCTCGAGGGATTAAAGAAAGCACAAGTGGAGATCGATCTGCAGTCTCGTCCCTCTCGAGGCTGTTACTAAGGATTATAAAACTCGTTCGTTCCCGCAACGTAAACTCGTAAACACGAAACTCATTCATTCCCTAAAACGCCACTCGAGACTCGTTTCCATTGCTGCCAGTCATTCGTGTGTCAGACTCGTCAGACCCACTCCGTCTCTTGTCCCATTTATGGTTAACGTTTCTGAGATCCTCCTCGTATCGTTCATCTACAAACAAGCTGACAAGCTGGTTAACAAAAAAAGCAAGAAGTAAAACTTTGAAACTTCAAACAAAGGTTAAAATGCTCCCTAATTTTACGTGGATTGTGATATACCTCATTAACGCATTTGTTAAATCGAATCGAGCCACGACGAAAGAATTTCCTCTCGTTTGCTTCTCCATCGGTATGTATCTTTTAATTACACGCGCGCAACGTTCGCCCGATCGGCGATGTTCAGCGTCGATCTGCTCCTTTTGAGAAATTCAACATCCGCCGTTTTGCATTTCGCAACTGTCGTGTTGTTGACAACCTTGATGTAAAGTATAAACGAGAAACATGAAACAGAGGATGTACCATTTCAATGATGGCGAACCTATGACCCTCGGGTCAGACACTGACCCACGCAGGCTTTTTAAATGATGATTTTTATAAACTTATCATCATATATATATATAAAAGAATTTTAATTATTTTTCGAACCCCTCTTTTCAAAAAATGTTAAGAAAATTACAAGTGTTCGGTTAGAGCTTAAAAGTGAGAAATAAATGCATAATTGTGTTTTATGGAGGATTTACGACTTGGTTATGTATACATATATAGGTATTTTAAGTCTTAAATGTTATATGAGTTGTGTCCAAAAAATTTTATATAACGCTTACGATTAAACAGATGTAATAAACACTAAAAGACACACTAGATCCCATTCTCAGAATGGGTAGCTTTGCTAATTTTTTATATAATAAAAGAGAGAACAGACAATAAAAAGTATTAAGAAATAAAGTATATATATCTAATGTATAGTGCAGGGGTGACTGGGCATGACGTCACCCCTTTTTTATATCAATTTTTCGACGTCGACATTTATTTTTTGCTCTTCACTTGCAAAAGTAAAAGTTGTAAAACAAAAAGAAAACGTAAACTTTCCAAGTGACGCCGCTGACTTAATGACCCACGAGTTAGTACTAAAAAAAAATAGTGAACAAAATTTGACCTACTTCTCAAAAAGATTCGCCGTCACTGGACTATGTTCTTCTTTTTAGTATATTCGACCAACAATTTTAAAAGACTTCAAAAGGTTAAATGATTTCGAGGAGATTTGACACTAGAATTATCGACGACTGAAAAAGAAGAGCATAAAATTTCCATCAGACACATTAAAGTAAAAGAAACGGGGAAACTTTCTAATGCAATAGAATTCACGTTTATTCATGTATTTTACGAAAAATTATTTCAATCGCCTCACATTTATGAAATTTCTAACAACAGTTACGAATCGATCAGCCATTTAACCATTTTCATGGTTCTAGTGTTAATAACTTTCTCTAAACATACGCGAGTTATAAATTATACTAGAAATTTTATTAAAAACTATAATAAGCTAGAAATTATAAATTATAAATTTTACGTGTTACATTATGCTAAAAAATCATCAGTTTAAATGATTTTAATGTCAGTAGCTTAGTCACAACAGAACCACGTGTATTGAAATATTTTGTTTTTCCTTAAAAACAAATTTTCAGTTGTCATTGCGACTGATAGTCAAATTCCTTATCAATTCGAAGGCCATTGATAAGGCGCGAGCGATACGGGAAATCAGCATCGTAGCGAGTAATCGTAAAGACACCGAGCGTTCCA